TTGTCCAATGGGAAAGTGTCTACTAGGATTTGTCTCATGGGAATTTTGTCCAGTGGAAACAAACCTATTGGGATTTTCTCCTGTTGGATCATGTTCAAATGGAATTCTATTGGTGGGAAAAATAATCTCGTGGAATTTTGGGGGGCAAAATTTTGTGGTAGTACGAGTTAACCAGAGAGCCTGGCACGAAATCTAAGCGTAAAGACGGCGGTCTCAGGCTGCCGGCGACACTGTATGCTGGATGGAATTTACATGACAAAGACTAAATTTTAAATTTAAATGGTAATCTCCTTTACAATGGAAATACTGCTAGGCATATCACGCATAGGGAAGGCGGGATCACATTGGAAAATAATCTCAAAAGAAAAAGCTTTAAGCCTACACTCTTCATGCGGGCATTTAAAACTTACAGTAGCAGATCTGTGCTCATAAAATAGTTAAAATATAAGAAAATCCGAACATAGTTTCTGTTTAGATTCTAGGCTTATTTTAAAACAAGTTAATAATTATGTAGGATCCAAAAATTAAACATTCCTTTAAAAATTTTAGACACACGACTGAAGAAAAAACCTGATTATATCTTAGGCTGAAGCAGCAGATCATATATGATGAGATACACAACACTTCCTGTTCAAATATATTTATGACAAGGATTATACATATTTACGAACAAACATTCACACACACACATTGAAGAGAAAAGAAGGCAGGCACGAAATCACAACTTAAAATAAGAGAAACATTCCCATAACCATCCATTTTAATGTAAACATTACACACGCGATATTTTCTCATCAGGAAAGAAGCTTTCAAATAAAGCTCGAAATATATTGTTTATAAAAGGAAATTAATCCACAGAACAAAAGACCGTTATAACACAGGTTCCTCAGTCTAGATTTTCTAGTACAAGTGTTACAATTTTTCCCTGTTGTGTACGTGATAATAGGATTTTCCTTTCCAAGTGCTTTTTAATTGTCTCAAACAACAGCGAGGTGAACTCCAAGCGGATTGTAAAATGTTAAGGAAAAAAATATCATTTGTTATAGTAAATTACACTTCACAAACCCCACAGCGATTTTTGTTATGGGTTAATTCAGTTATTTACAGTAAAAACTAAGACGTATCTGTCAATACTTCCATCTTGCAGAACCTCAACCTATCAAAATTCATTTATATTCCACGGAATAGCACCAGGACTCCCTGTCACATGCTTCATGTACAGTATATATTCAATCTTTGGCAGAGGGACGCTTTGGTGTATATATTTGCAGCCACACTTGTCTGAGCTCTGTCATTGTCTCTTAAGAAAGAGTAAACAACTGTGTTTTCAATATAGAAAATGCACTAAAATGATTCTTATTTAACCATTTAGCATATGTAACTGATGTTAATATCATCATAAAACACCACAATAATGTGTCTGCATAATCAACTACAAAATTAAATTCCTTACTTTTAATTGTTGATCATTAATGTTCATATGTATGAACTAAAATATGTACAGTACCCCAGTCATTGGAAAATATCATAACATCCACATATATCATCATTAATGTTGTCAGCATAATCGGTAAAATATGTACACCACACAAGATGAAAGTCAATAGGAGAAATATTTGATGGTCGGTGTCGTGTCTATCTCTATGATGAAGAGATGAAAAGTTCCTTGATGGGAATGTTTGAGTCCCGGAATACGATAGTTTCCCCGAGAAGCTACACACGAGTCGGGGCTATCACAAGAGTCCCTCCGTGAAAATATATCAAAAACTTATGTAAAATGGTCTATTATGGCTGTGTCTTCCCAAGGAAACAAGAACAAATGCATCCATTACACCGAGTTTGGGCGAGGCTAACATTTTAAGACTTTTGTGTGACGTTCTAATCAAATTACTGAAGCTTTCGACGACTAAACAAACAATAATTCAACATTACTGAACTTGTGAACCAGCAAATAATGATGATAATACCACTTTACTGAACATTTGAAAGAGAACATCGGTGTTTTCTCATTAATGAACGCTCAATCTGGTTTACTGGTTTATAATCGTTAATAAAATCACATGTTTACCCCAAAGTCAAGTCACAGACGTCTGGGCTATGCTAACAATGAATGGTTAATGTTGAATCGTTAATACCACAGTACAATTACCAAAGATAATACGTTTTTGCCATTACTCACGTTTTGGCTCCGCTACCTCCACAAACATTCCTTTACATGCTGCAGATGTACACAATGCCAACATCAATAAGATACATGAATAACATCAGTAAGGGGATATAAAGTACATGTACAGGTTTATGCAAGGTTAACATCAGTCCACATTTAAATGAGACAAACATGGGCTCTTGTGTATGCGTGGCTAACATAATCCTGGTTTAAGAGAGGTTAACATCAGATCACGTTAATGTGAAGTTAACATTAATCCGCCTCAAGTAAAGACATAGTAATAAATTTAAGTTTGCGAGTGGTTAACATGCCACGTTTCCGTTTTTTGTGTGGAGCAAATACCGCCTTCCTGCACGTTTGTGTGAGGCTAACACAATATCAGTCTGTGTTTGTGTAAGGCTAATAGTGCATTAATTTAAGCTTATGTTCGGCAAACATTACTTCAAGAGGTTTAGCGGCACTTACCATTGCGTCACGTTGCTACGATTTACATTCACTCCGCTCGAGGCACTAAAGTCAAGATGATTTTTGGTGTTATGGAAATAATAATAATAAACGCTGTTTGTGTTGAGTCTACACCAAGGGTGGGGAAACTGTGACCCTCCAGCCATTTTTGGCCCACCAAGGGTCTAGGGTGGCCCACGATCATATATATATATATATATCAAGCCTGCCACTCAGGTACGGAAAATGACAACTACGGTCAGAAGCAGGTGGACCATGCAGGTCAACGCTGACAATGAGATCACGTTACCGATAGGTCCATTATTTGACGGATGCATATGATACATTTGCATCGGTCAGAAATTTTTGAGCGATGCAAGTGCATCGGCCTGGATCCAGCCCTGTTGTCCCAACCTATTCTATCCTTTGGACTGATGAATCACAGCACATTAGTGGTATAAAATATTGGGCATCATCAATATATAATAGAGGCATCTCTCCCTTTGGTTCAGAGGCGAGACATACTGTAGTGTAACGTATATCACGACAGTCGACATTACAGTATGGTGATCCACTGATGCTGTTTAGGTGGGCGTCATGTCACCTGTCACCCATGACCAGCCCGTTAATTCCTACTTTGTAATTATATAACAAATTATCCATTTAAATATATGGTCCTGTAATTCCATCGCCATTTGTCGTATTAAACTACTGATTTAACGACTTTGAGTGAGAACTGCAACCATTCACTTAAAGTATAATAATTGTATCATTACTTCTACGAGCTAGTAATTGAATGTTTAATTGCAGAGATAATAATTATTTGCGCACAACTAATTTATATAAATACGGAGTCAATATAAATTTAATGGCATATTATTTTAGCACATCAGCAGAGTCATATTACAGTCAAATTAATTCTCTCCAGCATACAGTTGACCTGATATTAGCAACAAAAGTGTTATGTTGTTGCGTAAAATCTCACAATGGAATTAATCCTGACAGGTGCGTGCCTGTGTAGTCAAATTAATAGTGGCAAACGTTAGGAGTCGGGTGCGTTAGTGCGGTGAACTGGTACCAAGATGACTGCTACGTAGACAATAGGTATGACCTGGGAGTACATCGCCAAAATCGTGTCCTTTTTATATGGTTCTCGTGTCACTGTAAATATAAATAACTGTAAAACTTCTTGTCTAATATTAACTGTGATTGAAACTAATTTCAATTTTAAATTAATTTTCTCAATTTCCTAATAATTTCAGCGTCTAGAATTCTTGAATGTTTTATGCAGTACTATGAAATATTAATCGCATAAAACAGCATCACTGCAAATGTTTGTTTTTTTCAAATGCAACTAAAAAGACACAAATATAACACAAATATTAATATCTGAATATTAGGAGCCTCTGGGTATGGTGAGGGCAACGAATACTGAAGGTATGCGTGTTTATTTCCCTTCAATCACAGAAAACGGGTTTCATATTCACAGGGAGGACGCTTGACTGCAAACTCGTTCGCCCGCCGCGACACTGCAGAGCAGTCCTATTCATTAGACTACTACTGCCTGAATATTCACCTCATACTTATTCATGAATCCCGAAACATATACCAGTAACGCCACGAACCCTTCAATATATACAACTAACTTAATGAACTAATCCCTGGATATACCGATAGTGTGCGCTTGTCTATCATTCTCGCAACAGGGTCTAAGTTAAATGTCCACCGTTCAGTACAAGATGAAAATATCATAACGCAGTATCGACACTAATACAAAACTCATCTTTGAAGTAACAATATGGGCCACATCTTATTTTAATTTGTTTT